TTCACTGTTGGGATTGTATTGGGCAGGTGATGAGCAGTGCCTGGTTTTCTCCACACACACCACTTAGAAATAATGCCAAAAAGTTCAATCTTCGTCTCATCAGACCAGAAAATCCTATTTCTCATAGTCTGGGAGTCCTTCGTGTGTTTTTTGGCAAACTTTATGCGGGCTTTCATATGTCTTGCACTGAGGAGAGGCTTCCGTCGGGCCACTCTGCCATAAAGCCCCGACTGGTGGAGGGCTGCAGTGATAGTTGACTTTGTGGAACTTTCTCCCATCTCCCCACTGCATCTCTGGAGCTCAGCCACAGTGATCTTTGGGTTCTTCTTTACCTCTCTCACCAAGGCTCTTCTCCCACGATTGCTCAGTTTGGCTGGACAGCCAGGTCAAGGAAGAGTTATGGTCACCCCAAACTTCTTCCATTTAAGGATTATGGAGGCCACTGTGCTCTTAGGAACCTTGAGTGCTGCAGAAATTCTTTTGTATCCTTGGCCAGATCTGTGCCTTGCCACAATTCTGTCTCTGAGCTCCTTGGGCAGTTCCTTTGACCTCATGATTCTCATTTGCTCTGACATGCACTGTGAGCTGTAAGGTCTTATATAGACAGGTGTGTGCCTTTCCTAATCAAGTCCAATCAGTTTAATTAAACACAGCTGGACTCAAATGAAGGGGTAGAACCATCTCAAGCAGGATCAGAAGAAATGGACAGCATGTGAGTTAAATATGAGTGTCACAGCAAAGGGTCTGAATACTTATGACCATGTGATATTTCAGTTTTTCTTCTTTAATAAATTTGCAAAAAAGAGTGTACATTAATGAGAAATAAAATAAACTTTTTTGATTTTAGCAAATGGCTGCAATGAAACAGTGACAAATTTAAAGGGGTCTGACTACTTTCCATACCCACTGTATATACAGTGGAACCTCAAGATACGAGCATAATTCGTTCCAGAACCGAGCTCGAAACTCGAGGTGCTCGTATCTCAAAAAAAAAATTTCCCCATAAGAAATAAAGAAAGAAGAAAGTTAATCCATTCTGACCCTCTAAAAAAACTCCCCTATTAGTGCTAATAACAATGGAAAAAACATGTTTTTAATTGCTATAGAGACACACACAAAAAAATAGTATATAAGGATTCCTGTGATATAAAATAAAATATGGTTTTAGTGCTTTTCTAATTTTTTTGCTTTTTTCGATTTGTATTCTTTCTTTAGCAGGCACCACGCTCATATTTATCGACAATTTCATGTTTTATTTCCATGGTCATCATGGTTTCTTCTTCTCACTATCATCCTTCTTCACTATTATGAAGAATAATGCACAAAATAGAGAGAAAATCACGCAGATAACCTAGCGTCGGCGTCTGTAAGCATGCTTGTATCTCAAACCTTTACTCGTATCTCGAAGCTTGCTCGTATCACGAAATACTCGTATGTCGAGACGCTCGTATCTCAAGGTTCCACTGTACAAAAATAACTGTGACTGATTAACTGATAACTGATTAACAGTGTGTTTTAGTACAATCATTTTTGAGTCACCAACTACAGCTTGGTCATTTACCTCTCAGGTCCTCATGATCACCACTCACTAACTTTAATGTCCAAGTTTAATTACCTGCAGGCGGAAACAGCTCCCGAAACCACACTGAAGACCGGCTCACAGAAAGGTACTTCGTCCCCCCCGTCCTCCATGTTTACTGTGAAAACGGCATGAACATCTGACAAGTGAAATTAATGTTTAATTCATGTTTTTTTTTACCGTCAACTCGTGTGATTGTTCAGGAGCCAGTGAGATCTCAGATGCGTGTAAACCCCTGAAGAAGCGAAGTCGAGCATCAACAGATGTGGAGATGGCCTCGTCGCAGTACAGAGACACCTCCGATTCTGACTCCAGAGGTCTCAATGATCCACAGGTAGAGAACAGTGAGCATGAAACCCCCACACATCACTGTCTGCTGACATCAGCCAATCAGGGTTTCTTTAACGACTTCCTCCTCCACGTCACAGGGTTTATTTGGGAAGAGTCTTGATAGTCCAGCAGCGGCAGACGCAGACGCTTCAGATACTCAGTCTGTGGATTCAGGCCTGTCCCGTCAGGACAGTAACACTGGAAAGAGAGACACTGTCTGCCAGGTCAGTCAGTCATTCTACTGTTTTTCTACAAATCTTTTTATTTTTACTAACGCTGTCAAATTCAATAATTATTAGCTTAAAATTTTTAATGCACTTAAACCAGTGTTTCCCAAACTTTTTTTCTGGGGACCCAGATTTTCAAAGTCACAAACCTTCGCGACCCAAGTCAATAGACATTATTCGTAAACGCCTGGGAAACATGGTGCGAGACAACCCAAAAAAAAAAATCTCATGCAATCAACCCGAGACTCGCGACCCACAAATGACTTAAAGAATGACCCACACTGAATATCCAGTAGTTCCATTGTCACTACCTTTCACTTTTTGTTGCTGTATTAAAGGCTAATTGTGACCTGAGTAGGATTTTTAGGGTTTCTTGGCTCAAAGAGTATAAAAGAAACAACAAAATAAAAAAAGTCAAACACATTTATTTTCACGCACTACAGGAAACATGTCTATGAAGATTCTCAGTCATCCAGGTCATGGTCAAGTTTTGAAAGTTCTGTTAGGCAACTGGACGTGAATTTTCTAAAAGAAGACGTTTCACCTCTAATCCAAGAGGCTTCTTCAGTTCTGAAGTTCTTTTTTTAAACACTACAGGAAACAGTTTTCATTTCACAGAAAGACCTCTAGCTTCAAATAAACACTTCATCATCCAGTGTGTGCTTGTAGAAGCTCAAACCTCAGGTCAGACGCCCGGCTCGCATCAGACTAGCCTCATCAGGCGCAGTGCAGAGCCGATAAACCAACTGACATAACTGCAAAATAAATTGCGAGGGACTGAAGAATGATGAATTTTGTACAGAACGACTTCACTAATGTTTTTTATGGAAACATTATAATTTTTTGCTCTGAACATTTTTCCATATTAACACTTCTATTGTTTATTTTAGTCACAAATAAAAACAGTTGTGAGACACACACATCTACCTGCTGTTATTATTTCTTTCTGTTCCAGTAATATACACAGAAAAATATAGATTTTTTTTGGTTGTAATCAGGAAATCAAATCCTATTTAATCATAATTGATTAATCATGACTAATCAAGATGAATCCACTGCTACTCTGTGATTGATCAGTTTCTAATGACAGCCTTAATTCTTCAGATGTTATACCTGTCAGTCTGTTGTCTCGGTGTAGATCTGTGAGGTTTATGGCGAAGGCCTAGTGGTCTGTGAAGGTGACTGCAATAGACAGTTCCACTTGGAGTGTCTCGGTCTGACGTCCCAACCTGAGGGCAGATTCACGTGTTCAGAGTGTAGGAATGGTGAGTGAACTGAGCCGCGGCTTCGTTATTGATGTTCATGTCATGTGTTGTTGCTTCTTCACTGACATTACCCCCCCCCATTCTCCCCCCCAGGCAATCATCTGTGTTTCAGCTGTAAAACAGCAGGCCAGGAAGTGATGCGCTGCTCCGTGGCGGGATGCGGTTGCTACTACCATGAGGACTGTGTTCAAAAACTCCCAGGCACCACCACCAGTCAGGCTGGAAGCTTCAGCTGCCCTCAACACATCTGCTCCACCTGCTGCCTGGAGAGAGACCTGCAGCAGACCAGTAAAGGTAATACTGCAGGGCTGAGGGCCAAGGCTGCATCAGCAGAGTGTGAAGAAGTTTGTTTCCAAGATATTTTTGGCTCCTTAATGATGCTATTGAACACTGGGAATAGTAATGAGTGCATGGGTCAAGGCCAGACTTTTAGAATTGTGTAGGAGAGGAGTGCAAGAGGCAGCAGCAAGCACTGTAATTGTACGGAGAGAAACTATACTGAACCCTAGAAGGACACAGTGTGTCCCATAGAGGTTTATATCCTTGATGTTTGCCTTTGCACAAAACTTTTCTTTAGGTGGAAGAAGGGGAAATTGTAGCAGCAATTCTGATTGGTTCTTGAGTAATAATTGCATTGTATTGCAAGTCAAATTTGTCCCAACATGGGTGAGGAGGGGTAAGTCACAATGATCCTGTCTTCCACACACACAATCCATTCGCATTCTACGTCTCAGAAATAATCACACCAAGCGTTCACGAACAAACAATGTACAAGCTCTAAAACAGTGACCCCTCGTATCGCAGACTGGTAGTGTCGCCCCGTTCGCTTAAAGAACTGTTTCCCAAACTTTCTTTTCTGGGGACCCATGTTTTAAAAGTCACAAACTTTGACCTAAGTCAATAGACATTATTCGTAAACTCCTGGAAAACATGATGCGAGACGACCCAAAAAACAAAATCTTGAGACCCACCTACATTTGTGTTAAAAATTATTCAACCCCCAATGTTGTAAAGGGTTTTAGGAAAATCTATATATATATATATATATATAATCTATATATATATATATATATATTGGATGGATGGATGGATGGAATATATATTAGTAATAGTGTGGTACTCGGCTCCTTCTAGACAATTACTTGTATCTTTGCAACATGGTGAAGTCCAGGGAATGGTCAAAGAAGTCAAAAGAGAAGGTAATTTCTCTTCAACATTTGAAGAGACACAATTGGAAGCATTATTCCCAAGTTTAAAGCTAAAACCACAGTGGATATGCTACCGTGGCAGAAAGAGGATGCTGACGCTGACTACAGTCTGGTACCTGAAGCGGTGGAAAATCCCCTGGTGACTGCTGAGGAACTGCAAAAGGATTTGTCAGATGGAAGCACTCAGGTTTCAGCTTAGACTATAAGACGGACACTGTGAGATGAAATCCTCCATGCCAGAACTCCCAGGTGCCAACCCTTGCTGACTCCAAAGAACAATAATCGACTCCAGTATGTAAAAAACCACATGGACAAACCATAAAGGTTTTGGGATACTGTACTGAAACAAAATTAGAACGCTTTGGGCCTATGGATCAACAGTATGTCTGGAGAAGGAAGAACAAGGATTATGAAGAAAAGCACACCTTGCCTACTGTGAAGCATGGTGGGGTCATGCTTTGGGGCTGTTTTGGTTCTTCAGGTACAGGGAATTTCCATCATGTGCAAGGTACCATGAATCCCATTAACTACCAGGAGATCTTGGATCTAAATGTCATGCAGTGAGTCACAAACCTGAGGCTTCCGTCTCCATGTTGGACATACCAAAGCATACCAAATCTACTAGAGCTTGGCTGCAGACGAAGGGCTGGAACATTCTGGAGTGGCCATTGCAATTACCCGACTTAAATGCAATTGAAAATCTCTGGTGGGACTTGAAGAAGGTAGTTGCAGCATGCAAGCCCAAGAATGTGAATGAACTGGAGCCTTTTGGTCATGAGGAATGGGCTAATATACCTGTAGATCGCTGCAACAAGCTTGTGTCAAGCTATGTTTCACATTATAACTGCCAAAGGATGTTGTACTAAGTACCGTATTTTCCACACTATAAGGCGCACTTAAAAGCCTTTAATTTTCTCAAAAATCGACAGTGCGCCCTATAACCCGGTGCGCCTTATGTAATACGTTTGGTTGTGCTCACTAACTCGAACCGATTTTATAAAGCCAAACCCCACAGCGCATCACACATGATGGCACACAACTGAAGGACACTGGGAGCCAACAATGACGTTTAACTCTGTTATCGAAATTAGAAGATGCTCATCAACAATTGTTATAGTATGGTTGTGTAACTCTGCGTTGTGTTTTTGAATTTTCGATGTATGGTGCGATGCAGGACGACTCAGACGCATGGCTGTCGATTTTTTCAAGGTCAAAAACTCTTTTTATTTCTCATTTTTTATCGGTGCAGGCAAAACACACACTATCTCTGCAAAACAACATCCGCACTTCCGCACGGAACAGCGTCAAATCAACAATACAGTGACCATCCAGAACAAAAATAGTGACACCCACCTGACTCTGGAGGGGCGAACAACAACAGCGTCCTCCAGTGTCCAACTTAGGTCACTACCCTTTTCCACAAATCTCCGTCCCTATTGATCCATGTGCGCCCATCTCACCGATATTGTCAAAAACCAAGAGAAGCAAACTAATTCGGGGCTTGTCATCATTCCGGGTGGATTAACCAAAGAATTCCAACCGCTAAATATTGGTGTTAACAGGGCGTTCAAAGTTAAATTGCGAGCTGCGTGGGACCATTGGATGACAGAATGCGAACACATTCACGAAGACAGGGAAGCAACGCCCGGCGAATTACGCCACTATCTGCTAATGGATCGTGGATACCTGGGCTAAGGCATCAGTCTCAAATGTCGAATCATCACTGAACAACTAATTAACAGCAATGACACTGACTCGGATATTGACGAGAGGGCTCCAGGCATGCTTGATTGTTCCGCTTAATTGTCGCTAAATGTTTTGCTGAATGCGCCTTAAAACCCGGTGCGCCTTTGTATGAAAATATCCCCCGTTCGTTGATAGTGCGCCTTATAATGCGGTGCGCCTTATAGTCCGAAAAATACGGTACTAAGGATGGATGTGACTAAGGGGTTGAATAATTTTGTAAATGTTGCAAACACAGAAAGGACGTTTGTTGGTATATCACCAGAAATATTGTTGTAATTTCAGTTGCATTTGTCTAGTTTACAAGTCCTTCTTTGATCTGATTACAAAAAAGAAAAAAAAGAAAATGTCATACGCGACCCAGTCTTTGGGAAACGATGGTTTAAAGGCTTATTACAGGGTTGTTAAGGAATGGTACATTTTCAAAATAAAACATCTTTTAGACTCTAATCTGTTAGTATTGGACTCTGAAAGACAAATTATTTTTGAAAAAAAAAAATTCTAGCAAAAGTATTAAGAAATGACCAGATTATCTCAATAAAGTATATTTATATTTCTTTCTCTGCAGCCCGGTAACAAATTCCCCACGGACCGGTACCGGTCCATGGACCAGGGGTTCGGTACCCCTCCTCTAAAACATTGCATCTACTTGAAAGTTTTGTTAGGCAACTGGACGAGATTTTTTTAAAAGAAGACATTTCACCTCTCATCCAAGAGGCTTCTTCAGTTCTGCAGAACTTATTCAGCTTGTCTTTGGATTCCAAAATTGTGAGAATGAAAGAGAAAATGTCGTACGGTCCCTGGTATTGAAGCAACTGAAAAAAAAACAACAACTGAGACTGAGATAACTGTCAGTTATTTCTATCAGTATTTACATTCTGTTAGTGTCTGGCCCTCAAGGTGTCTGTCCTGAAAAATCCTGGGCATCCGATAAACATAGTTGGTGACCCCTGGTCCAAAACGTCGAGCTTGAAACCTAGAGATAATGTCTCTCAGGTTTTTCCTATCTACGAAGGAGATTAACAGGCTACAGCCAACAACAGTGTGTACAGATGTCAGATACTGTTTGACATGACATTTACGACAGCCCTTTCTTGTCGCGGTCTGACTCAGTGGCTCTAATCTTCCTGTCCAGGTCGACTGATGCGTTGCATCCGCTGTCCGCTGGCCTACCACACTGGAGACAGCTGCGTGCCAGCGGGCAGCGTCATCCTCAGTCCTCACATCATGATCTGCAGCGGCCACGGCAGCTCCAAGAAGAACGGCCTCCTCACCTCTCCCGTCAACGTGGGCTGGTGCTTCCTGTGTGCGAGAGGTAAGTGCTTACCGCCGTGCACACTCACCTCACTTCCTGTCCTGACAGCTGAGACCCAGCAGTGACCCTGAACGGACGGACTTGATTCGTACCTCTGTGTTGACCACAATAACAAACATTAGCTGTTGTCACTGGTATTTTCAAAGTAAAGGCTCAATATATCTCACCCCTCCTCCCACCTTTTTCTTTGATAGTGTAACATGTTTTTAAAACACTAACTGTTTCATCTCTGGACGTTTTTGATCCTAATTATTACGTGTTTCATGTTCGGTGGTCTTCATGAATAACCGTGTTGTGAAATGTATCATTTCTCCATCACTTTACTAACACTGTGAATGACCCAGGCTTTTCACACTGCACTCCTCCTAAAGTCCTGGATGGTGATGAATAAGAAAAAACACATTTTTCTCTTCTATTCTTTTTAACAACTTTCAGCCATTTTTGATTTTTTTTTTTTGAGACAAACATTTATTTATTTATTTTTCTGTGTGTGTATGTGTGTGTGTTTCTCTTTTTGTGATTTTGGGTAATTTGGAGTTTGACTGCGGCTCACACCCGTCTTTTCCTGTCTTGTGTAGGGCTGTTAGTGCAAGACCTTACTGACACCATATTAAGTTCATATGCCTATAAGTCCCACTACCTTCTGACTCAGTCAAATCGTGCTGAGTTGAAATTACCTATGATTCCCTCTCCTTCGTCAGCTACCAAAAAGAATATTGGGAAAGGTAACTGAACAGTTTTTCTTTTTCTCCATTGACTCCCCCCCACTCTCCCTGCTTTGTGTTTGTGCTGTGCCTGCTCCTGCTCTAATCTCCTCTCCCTCTCTGTGTGCTTCTTTCTCTTCTGCAAAGGTGCTGTACCTGCTCCGCTCTGATCTGTGTGCTTCTTTCTCTTCTGCAAAGCCCAAAGGTGTAAATTTAATTAACTGGTCGAACCTGCAGTTAATTTTAAATGCAGCGCAAACTCGGCTCCAAAAAAAATCCTAAACATTTCGACAAGATCATTTACATGTTTGTCAGTAAGAAAAAAAAACAATTCTATCGCACACTTGGCTCACTTGGTTTTGAACAAGAAAGAAACCCCTGGTACATTTTAGCATCATCTTTTTTTTTTCACTTGTAAGTTTACTGCATCTGTTACTGTTTTTTAAACTGCCGTTTTCAGATTGGCTAAGTTTGACATGTACGTCTCCAGACAAATTTGATTCAATATTTTGTCTTTGAAACTGATACAGATATAATGTAAATCGACAGATCTCAGTGGTTATTTCACTGACAAATATGAAATCTGCTCCACACATCTTTCAGACACAGACCTTAAAAAAACTCTTAAATCTGTCTTAAGTCTTAAAGTCTTAAATCTGACGAGAAGGGAACAATTTTTTGGAAAACAAATTTTGGCCATTTTTTTCCATACTAGCCTCCTTTACCTTCTATTCCACTGGCTTCAAATTACTAATGCACGACCTTGAGATAATGTAAAATCTTAAGTTAGCAGAGTTGAACGGTGTGGGCGTCACAGGCTGCAAAAGAAAGAAACAGAATGAGTTTCCTCTGCTGTGGTTGCCATGGTATCACATAAATTCAACTAATCCAATGGTTCTGGTCATAAGATTATTTTAGAAACACTTCTGTTAAGTCTAGAGAAATGATCTTAATACATCTAATTCATTATTTTATTTCCTTTTATTGTAAGTTAATTAAAGCTTTATTTTTAATACTTTATTTAGAAAAAACAATGACGTTAATTTTTCTCTATTCAAGCATCAACATATTATAGTTAGAGATGAAGTTCTCCTAATACATTCTCAAATTTTTAATTAAATAATTATTTCAATTTAATTATTACAATATGATTAAAATTGGCTTTAATTATAAACATGATAAAAATAAGTTCCAGACAACGCCTTCTACTTTTGCCACAGACATGTTAAAAGAAATCCAATTCTAAACACACGGAACCTCATCTGAAGGTTCTGTTCATGTGAAGGTTCTTGCATGAGGCCCAGTGAACTATTGTTTTTTTCTGTGCATTAATAT